AATATTTTATTGTGTGGATGTGCGATTGAAAATGAATATATAAGAAAAAGTTTTAAAAGAATGAGAAACAAACATAAACTAAATAGAGCTACATATCATTTGTTTGGCCAAGATTTTTGCCTAAAATTTTAATTCATTTTGTTTCCATTATATAGTGAATCCGGCCGCAACATTTACTTGAATTAATTAAAACGACCAATATGCCCTAATTAACATTTAATTTCTTGAATAATTCTTCTCAAACAGGGCCATATAACTAATGACCCTGTGTTTTCCGGGAGCATTTGGTTCCTCGGAAAAAAAAGGGCCATGTGGCCTTGTTCATGGAACATCTCTCTAATTTCTTATTCTACGGACGGGCATTTTTGATATTTGATAGTTTGTGCCATCAATAAAATCTGCGGAAATGAGACCCTCGCGTCTTCACAAAATCGTAACCAGGCAATGGCATAATCTTTTTTAAATTTTTTTCTGTTGTCTTGCATAATTCACCAAATCAAATAAGATTAATATTATTTAAAACCAATGGAATGGTTCTAAGCACCTGTCCTTTTAACATTTAATTCATTGTCTATAATTGGTTAAAAGTAAGAAGTCATAATTTTTAATAAATTATAGACAGTGAACCCTATATTCGTATAGTCGTGCTTATCACTAATGCTCTTATAACATTTGTTGACCGTTGAACCACCGAATATATTTGGATATATTTAAAACCTAAAGAGAATAACGTTTTGATATATGATGAATTGAAAGTTGGAAGAGCGGAAGAATTGAAAGTTGGGAGAGTTGGATCAAATTCTAAGTGTGCAGCAAGGCCTTTTGCCTTGTTGCAAAATTGCAGTCCGCTCGAGCGTACTCTAACCTTGCTCGAGCATGTTGCTTTAGAATTTTAAAATTGTGGGCGTAGGACAAAGGGAAAAAAATAAATAAATAATCCTTAAAACATTAAAAATTGTGGAGGAAAGATGCTAAGAAATAAAAATATCTTGATTATATACATCTTCCAAAAGCCTAAGGGCAACTCCAATCCTTCCATCATTCCACTATTTTCCACCAAATTTCATCATTTTTCACCAAAAACACCACTCTAACCCAATGCCAAATCTTGTGGCATTTTGATGTTTATAGACCATTCACTGCCATTTTGCACCAAATGTGATAAAAGTCAATTTTGTCCTTTTTTCATGTATGACCAAGTTGATATGAAGGGTATTTGTGTTATTTTACATCATACATAAATTTTAATCCATAATTAAGTAGTTAATTATTATTATTGATGATCATCATTTGTAATAAATTATAATTGCGTAATCAATAATAATATATGAAGGAATTAAAATAAAGGTACTCAAAAAGTTTTGAAATGCAAATATACGTGATTAACGTTGAAGACGAAAATCAACGTTTCCAATAATTTCTTGTTTGTCATAGATAAATCAAGGATAAAGATGCTCACATTGCACTTCGAAATGCATTAATTGAACATTTGTGGGATGAATATATGAATTTCGATAATTAAATTATGACACTAGATCGAATTCGCCGTACCATAATTTCGAAATTCGAAATGTACTACGTTATTTTCAATAACACGATTTCATATTTTCTTAGTTGTGGCATTTTTATTAATTATGCTACATTTTTAAAATATATTAAATAATTTCATATTTCGTAAACGAAATGTAATTATGCATGTAGTAATTTATGTAGTAGTAAATCGAACAAATAAATTTTTTTTAGCTATATAAATTTTTAAAATAAAAGAAATGAAGAAAATGACTAAATACTGTTCATTTGGTGTAACTTGTAGTGTAATAGGTTAGAGATGATTTTTAGTTTCGTGCAATATTTGGTGCAAAAGCTAAAATGGGGCAAGATTGGAGATAGTCTAAACAACCTTAAAACCAAAATTTTCATAGTGTTCAAGTTCATTTATTGAGCTTTCACTTTTACCTTGTGTAAATTCGCCAAAAGCTCATCGTATCCGCAAAAGTTATTTGTTGAAAAGTTTCGGAAGCAGTCTCTAATCAGACTCTTATTTGATAATCATTATTTCAAAATACTTTAATTCTAATATTTATTTTCAATCGTACATTTACACAATAGAATATTTGCACATAAATTCAAAACTTTTACCTATTTTTTAACTACATATTCTTCCAAAAAAATCACTATTCAAAACTCAAAATTTTCAAAATAATGACCATCAAACAGAAGCTAAGATAAAACAAATATTGCTTTTAAAACGTGTGTATCATACATGTTTCACGCCATCATTTCTTAGAGCATTCTACATTTTTTTTCTTCACGTTTGAGCATGTTTCACACCATCATTTTTTTCTGCAACTTAATGTTGGATGTTACGTGTCTATATCCTATATATATCTCCAACATATATGTCCCACACATTAAAACCTTTTATTTTGCTGG